CGACCCTGGAAGTTTCTGTCCTCGTAGAAGATGACCTGAAAATAATTATTTTTTAGTGATTTATTTTTTCCCCATCTCCATTTTATTTTGGTTTAATTTTTAAGAATGTTAATTGAAATTTTAGTTTTACCTTGCCCATCATGGTTACTTTAGCTGACCCTTGGTGATTGCACAAAGGAGAAGCTGAAACTGATTTTCTGTGTTGACTGACTGTGGACACCTGTGCTTTTATACCAAGACCAAGACTAAAGGACATCTATTGTTAGTCAATTCCTGACTATGCATGTTGGCATAGAAGCTGTTAGAAAGCGTAGTATCTAGCTCTTAATATTTAGGCCAGCACTTTCCCTGGAACTTCTTCTAAACCTTTGTTATTTTGAAGTTCTGGTATTTTTTTCAGTGAATAAAGTCTCAGATTTATGGATACATTTGTAAAGATAGAATTTAGAACCAGGTGTGTACTGGAACGGAGAGTCATTTTCAAAGATATGCTGCTAGTAATTGGGGAAAGAGTTGCAGTTGAAAACTTTACATTGCCATTCTGAATGAATAAAACCATAGTGATGTTTGTTGAAAAGGAAAATTTAGTAAATTGGTTGATAAGCGACAGTATATTTCCAAATGGTGATCATTACTTATTATTTCACATCTTGCTGCTCTGATGGCTAGTGTTATGGTATCTTATCTACCTCCATTTATTCAGAATGATGAAATTGAGGAAGCTCTGATAAGATTGGCCAGTGAGATTATGATGATTCCATTGGGGTGTAAAAACACTTTTCTTAGACATCTTATGTCAAGTGTTCAATATTTTGTTCATAGATTTTTGCAATAAGGGAATCCATACGTTATTTAAATGGATACTGGCAACAAGATTTTTTTGAGTGTAGGGACATTAGCCAAAGGCACACATTCTCATAAGTTTGGTAAAATGGAAGGTAGGCCAAATATGTCTACTGCTATGGAGAGATGTAGTTTAACTTCTTAGAATGTTCAGCCTCAAATTGCCTCTCAGATATACTTTTATATGGATGGACTAGATTGATGATGTTAATGAAATTTTTGGTTCTGCTAGAAATCAAGATATTTCTAACCTGTATAATAATAGTGTAATAATAATAAGTAATAATAATTTTAATTTAGTGTTGAAAAGGCTTTTCTATCAGTTGTAAATAAGTCTCTTGTGTTGACTTTATTACCTCCCATGTTTTGGGTATTTTATTTGTAACAGAGACTTGGTTAAAAGTGGATAATCCTACCAATAATTTCAGTATCATGTTATAAATGTAAATATAGTTCTGTATCTCAAAGATTATTTTATTTATAAGTAAATAAAAATAAAAACAATATTGAATCTCTGTCACCGACTCGGTCCCAGTCATTCCCCTCGCTGGCCAGCAGAGGCTGCCATCTTCGGACTTCTAGCATTACATCATCCACTTACGCTGATTGTGCACACACCTGATCTGAATCTGGTTAACGACCCACGTACCCCTTATAAGCCTCACTCAAACACTCAGTCAGTGCGAAGTCTTGTTTAGCCCTGGCCAGCATTACTGAGTGTTATTTCCTGCCTGATCTCTTGTGTATAACTCCAGCCCGTTTCTGACTCTGCTTCGCCTTCTGCCTGCCCTCGACCCAAGCCTGAAACACGGACTCTGATACTCGTTACCTGCCCTCGACCCAAGCCTGATACACGGACTCTGATTCTCGCAGCCTGCCCTCGACCCAAGCCTGATACACGGACTCTGATTCTCGCAGCCTGCCTTTGACCCATGCCTGGTAATCACTCTGTGTCTGTTTGCCGCCAGCCTTGATACCTTTAATACTACTGTTGATGTGTGTTTGCACTTGTGTGCATATTGTGTGATTGAGTGAGAGCTTGATAAATACTGCATAATGGATCCCTCCGTGTCAGTCTCCTCGTTACAATCTCTCATTTACTGCAATAAACATGTACATTTTTTACAACTTTTTTTTATTTTTGCACAACTTTTTGGGAATGAAAGATACAAATCCTGCACAGTGGCCAGAGGTACTGTGAGCCATTTTTCTTGCAGAATATAGACCAGGTCATGTGATGCTGGTGGAGGAAAATATTTTTTGACTTTTCCTGCTCCTCCAAGACACACCAAAGTGGCTCAGTGACTGTGCAGGACATAGATGTTCAACTTTACTTTCAAGTTCATCAAACCACTATGTCACCAGTCTTGCTATGTGTGTATTATCATCCTGAAAAACTGTCTTCAGGACACAATTTTTTTTAACCACTTAGGGAGTGCCATGATATTGCAGCAAAAACCCTCACTGATCCACCCTCATGCTTTACTCTGGGCATGCAAAAGTCTGGGTGGTATGCTTCTTTAGGGCTTTTCCACACAGTAACTCCTCCTGGTGTGGGAAAGACAGTGAAGTTTGAAGATTTTTGAAGATCCCAAGGTTTTTGTTGTTGTGACCATTAAAAATGACATTTCACATTGGCACTAAACCCGTCCATGTATATTGATCCTGTGGAACAGTTTTGGTGGAAACAAGAGAGTTGAGGTGCACATTTAATTCTGCGGTGAGTTGGGCACCCGTGGTTTTGTTTTTTTGGATACATCCCTTTTAGGCAGCTTCCTCTTGCTTCCACAGTTAATCTTGTTGGATGTGGTTTGTCCATCTTGGTGGCATCCTGACATTACCCTTGATACAATGGCTCTTGATACATCACAAAGACTTGCTATGTTGGTCACCGATACGCCAGTAATATGCGCACTAATTATTTTTCCTCTTTTGAACTGATATGTCATCCATAATGTTGTGTGTATTGCAATATTTTTAAATATCTGTGCTAATACTCTTGTACTCAAATTTTAACTGTCTGTTCTTACTTCTGGAATGTGAAGATTGATTAAGATTGGTCACTAGATTGAACAAATTTACTAATAAAACCTCCAGCACTAAATTGGCCAGTATTTTAGTTTCATTGTCCAACCCCTGTACATACATATGTGCAGCATCTGTTAAATTACCAAATAGGATTAGAGAAACTAGTATAAATGTAAAACAAGGAATAAATTAGGATTAAAGGTTTGAAATTATCTTCTTGATAATAGTAGCTATTAGACTATAAATACTATTTGCAAATACTATGCAACTTAGTGAACAGAATGTTAACCTGTATGCACCAAAATATCCAAAAAGTTCAACAAAATAAAACCATTCTCTGATGTATACATCTGTTAGTAACTAAGTTAAACTACTAAACACTAAAGTGACCCACAATTGTAGTTATTCTGGATTTAAATTTCACAAAAAAAGGTACAAGCAAACAATAGAAAGCTTTTACTGTATGTAAACATACATCTCTATATTGCAGAGCATGTTTTATTATGGCACCAAATTCTCTTAAAGGAGTGGTCCACTACATATTTTAAACTTTAGTTGATGTGTAATGAAGCTTTGTGAACATAAACAACATCTCTGAATGTAAAATGCTCAAAGTTCAATGCAAAGGGAGACATTGACTTTTACAGCGTTAACTTAGCAAAGCCTACTACGAACAAAGTTTGGGGACTACAAAAAAATATATCCAGGCCAGTGAGATTACAAGGGCTTCTGGTTACATGCATTCACCACACACACACACACACACCCTGCCCAGCAAAGGGGAATGATTTAAGGTGCTGCAATGGTACATTAGAGAAAGCTAAAATGGTGTCCAAACACTGCTATTTCCACAGAGGTTGTTCTGTTTCTGTATTTGGCTTCTGTAATTGGACACAACAGACAGAGAAGTGTTAATAATTTAATTTTAACCATGTTCCAGAGAATTATAAAATTTATATATATCCCATTTGACAAATACAGCTTCCAGAATATCTCCCAGTACAGTGCTGGATTCAGCTAAAAACTACTCCAACCGACAAAGCTGTAAATTGTGAGCCACAACCTGTAAGTATTTTTATTTGTTTGGCACCATTAACATTTTAGCTACAAATTCATATTTATCAGTCAAACCGCTGTTAACACACAATCTTCAGCAGCGCATGAAATGCCTATGAGACATGAGAACTTTTAATTTTACTTACACATGCTTATAACCCAAATATATGTGAAAGACACTTGTCAGATTTTGTTTAAGAGAGCAGGCGTGAAGTTCAGCTGTGTGCTCTTCATTTTCCTGTCTGATTCAAGCAGCTAACACTGCTAACAGTTGCTCTGACTGGCAGTATTTACACATCGCAAAAGCACAGTCTTGTAGGGACGTGAGGTGGTGACATGGAGCCAATCCGCTAATCACAGCACATTACGTTAGCTGACCAATCAGAGCATCTTGAGGGCGGGACTTTTGTCGTTTTCCTGTTAGCTGAGTAGCTGCATATAATCAAAGTAAGATATATATATATATATATATATATATATATATATATATATATATATATATATATATATATATATATATATATATATATATTTATTTATTTATTAAATAAGTGATTTTCTTCAAGTAAAGCATGAGCACACATTGCTTTTGGAACTTATAAATACAACCAAGCCTTAAAATTTCATTCTGGACCACCTCTTCAATGCTGGGTACACAACAAATTTGCAATTAACTATTTGCACAAGCAAGCTATATACAATGTCATTGCAAATGCTCAAATATAGGAGAATTATCACAGTGCTACATGATTGATGCAGAATACATGCTGTGGAATGCATGGAAGACGTGAGGTTTACCTAATTTATGTCTTCTGTGCAAGCCCAAATTATTCAGCTTGAGCAGAAAATCATGGCGTGAAAAATATCTGGCAAGATTTAACTAGAGCAAGTAACGGTGTGCTCTGTTTTTGGTGGGATCCCAGTATAGGAACAGTTCTAGTCATGTGACCTCAAGATATATTGCAATCCAGTTGCAATCTACTTGTTTCTGACTTTTAATTATCTCTTTGTATGTATAAGCTTGTGTTTGCATAATATAAGAAAATGGTGGCATTAATTTTGAAGACACATGATTTATCATTCTAGAAGTTATTTTATTGATAGAAACACTAAAACACTAGTACCAGGAGTCCATGATACGCCTCATGCTCATGAACCTCATGCCACCATAATTGCTGAAGTTCCTGTACTGTCCAGGCCCGAAGTGCCACATTCTGCCTCTGTAGTTAGGCTGGTCATAAAAGAGCCAGTGGCCGTCCATCACATGGCAGGACTGGCAGTGAGACATGCGGTAACGGTCCATGATGTTGTCACAGTCATCCATCATCTCGTACATCTGACCCATGAAGTTGTCCCTCTCGTAGATCCTCATTCTGTAGGATCCCCTGTGCTGTAGTGGAACATAAGTCTGTTACTTTTAAAATACAATTAAATAACTTCACCATGATCTTAAACAAACTCAAAATTGAACCTACCATGGGAATCATACGGCAGGACCTGATGCAGTTGTTCATTCCAAACATAGACATGTAATCAGCATACTCTCCCCTCCTGAAGAAATATCCACTTCCCATGTAGTTGGGCTGATCGTACATCATCCAGCAACCACTGTCCACTCTGCAAGAGTGACAGCGGCTCATGTAGGAGGAGAAGTCACCACAGTCACCCATACACTCATAAGAGCGACCCTGGAAGTTCCTGTCCTCGAAAAAGGTGACCTTTAAAAAAGGTGAAGATTTAAGTTTAATTAAGGTAAAGTAAAATATGTGGAAAAAATACAGCTATGTGAACTGTTTAGAAATGGTGGATTGAGGTTTACCTTCATGTTTGCAGTGGTCTATCCTCAGTTGTTCCACAAAGGAGAAGCTGAAGCTGATTCTGCTTGTTTACTGACTGCTGCCACTCGTACCTTTATACTAGACCAAGACTAAAGACTACATAGTAGCTATTGTTAGTTAATTCCTGACTGTGCAAGTTGTCATAGAGGCTATTCTAGCTAAAGCTTGGCATGTAGATCTTAGTGTTCACATTTGTTAGTACAAAAAAAAACATTTTCTTACAATTTATATTTGTCAGAACGTGTGAATCTGATCAACAACATTGGGAATCTGATAAGTAACATAAAATGCTGGTAATGTTTTACAGAACATTCTTTTTGTTATCATGAAGGATCATGTAGTAACAGAACAATTGTTGTTTTCTTTTAGTACTGAATCGATTTTTTTTTCTAAACCATGCATACATTATTACATGTTATGCTTTAAAGTTATATAAACAAATTGTGAATGAACTTTAACTTATTATCAGACATCAATGGCAGTCTTTTGAATGAAGAGCAATGATGTAGCCTATTCATAAATTGGAACTGAACTAAACGTTACATATCTCACACATTTTAGTTTAACACATTAAAATTCATTTTAAAATGTTACCATCCTTCTCAAGTCATAAACATGTAACAAACATGCTAGATTCTTTATTTCATTATCCAGACTTGTTTAAAACAAAGTTGGATCTCTTATTCTCCGTCAGTGTTTCTCTATCTACCTTTAACAGAAGACCGGACCTTTAAAAGTGGTTATAGGTTTGGTTACATTTTTTTTTTTTTCATGAATGTTTATGAAGTCTGTCTTCACCCTCATCCTCCTGGAAGATTGCTCCCTTGCAGATTCAGAAAATGTCACAACCCCAGTTCAACATCAGTCAAACCAACGGAGCAGTTATTGAATACAAGGACAGCCTGAATACAGTAGAAGCCTCCAGAGCCTCTGGAGTAGGCTGATACAGATGCACCGGCGTGTGTGGCAGCAGTTCCCCCAGCGCAATGTCTTGTAGTCTTTAATGTTTGTTTTTGTGCCTGTGTATTTTATTCTATGTAATGAATATGGAACTTTGAGCACAGTAGTTTGACAGCAGTTATCATATGGATATGGAACTTTTAATGCTATTGTGTGGCAGGAGCAAACTTTTCACACCAGATATCTGCTGCTCCCTCTGCAGGGGAATGTTTTAGCGAATTACCCATGGATATTACTCAGAGGAGCAGTCGTGCTATCATGGGCACAGAGCAGGCAAGTGAAAGCCATGCATCAAGAGAAGAGATGGAGATACAAACCCTCATTTTATTCAGTAATGATGGGTAATGTGAACACTCTGGCAAAACAATCTGAGGAACCAATTGCTCTGGTAATGTACTAAAAGTTATACACAGAAAGTAGTGGGTTTATTGTGCAAAAGAGGTGGCTAACTTACAACATCCTTCATGCTAACTTGGAGTCACCAGGTTTAGTTGTTCAGACAGAGATGGTAAATTGTGTGGTAAAAATTTAAGGTGGTGAATTCATTTTGTATATGAACAACAGAGGTGGGAAACGCAGTGGCGCAGTAGGTAGTGCTGTCGCCTCACAGCAAGGTCACTGGTTCAAGCCTCAGCTGGGTCTGTTGGCGTTTCTGTGTGGAGTTTGCATGTTCTCCCTGCATTCGCTTGGGTTTCCTCGGTGCTCCGGTTTCCCCCACAGTCCAAAGACATGCAGGACAGGTGAATTGGGGAGACTAAATTGTTCATAGTGTATGAATGTGAATGAGTGTGTGTGGATGTTTCCCAGAGATGGGTTGTAGCTGGAAAAAACGTCTGCTGCGTAAAAACGTGCTGGATAAGTTGGCGGTTCATTCCTCTGTGGTGACCCCGGATTACAGTTTTTCTTGTTTGCTTTGACCTGGTTAAAGAAACTAGGTTTCTCTTCATTTTCATTATCACTATCCCAGCAGAGCAGAGGACAGGTCTTGCAAATGTGTAAACCCTTTCTCATTGGGTTGACACATTTTCCCCACCATTTTTCCAAACAGTTAACACAGATGTCATTCAAGCAGTCCAAACTCCATTGTTTTAGTTTTGGTAACCAAACAGAATCCATCTATTCCTATCTATTAAAAACTACCAACATCAGTATGAAATCACTGAAGCACCGGTTTGACACTCCTTCACACAAATCTTCAATTAGCCATCATTCTGCAAAACTTATAAAAACGATGGAAGGTCTGTGTTGTTCTGTGCCAGCATTGATGGAGGAGGTCAATATGGCTATGTCCTATACTCCCAATAGATTTGACTGTATATTAGTTTACATGTGTTTTCTCTAATATTTACAGTATTTTATTACTTTTGTCTGTTTTTTTTATATGCAGTATTTCAGTTTTCAGCCACAGTTTGAAAAATGTCATGAATTCAATATATATTCAATCAAAGCACATCTTATTCTTGATCCAATTCTTTGCAAAAAGGCGAATTTGACAGCCCAAATAGAGACAACAAATGCCATTGGCTATAAGCTACAATGGCAAGCAATGGTGGTGCATTTTGAGTTCTGTATTTTGTTGTCCATTGTGTAATGATTAATTGAAAGAGCTCATATACTTGTTTGCAAGTTGTGTAGTTTGAAGGTAAAACTAGCTTTTGTTGCATATGTTAAATGTTTTGACACGATATGTGCCTTTTGCAAGCAAAATGCGGCATTTTGACCATGAGTGCCGCTGTTTAGGCCTGTGTGTTAACTGTTTTGAAAATGTGGAGTTTCAGTTGACAACTACATCCAAGCAATCGAGAAAAACTGTAATAAAGAGACTTAGCCGAAAAGAAAATGAATAAATGAATGAATGACAATAGGGTTGCAAACCCAGACTGTTACAGTTAGGAGACCATATGCTTTAAAGATGTGGTGTTAAACCTGGTTAGTCTCTCGCTGTATTAGATGCCAAGAGAGTTCTCACATATAATTGTTATCTATGTGTATATGTCTCATCGAGTGCTCTATTTGACACTGCATGTGACATGATTCACTTTCAGTTGCCAGGCTTCAAGCTCAACACACTTATAGTTTTTTGCCATGTCAGATGACTTTAGCCACCAAATGGAGTTCACTGTGTCAGACTTTTTTTTTCAATGTATTGACTGCACAATGAGAAAATTTGGACGATTGTCATCATGTATATTATGTATGTATGCTAATATCATGTATGGTTATGTGAAGGATGCTTAGTGCCACCCCCTGCATCCACTGGGAAAACCAGATCACACTATTATCCATCTTCAACTAAAATACAAGCCATTAGTAAAAAAGCCAACCAATTATTATGTGCACCTTTCCTGCTTTGAGAAACTGTTTTGAGACTACTGATTGGGGTGTGGTGCAGGACACACTTGGGGTGGAATTAGAGGCAGTCACTCATTGCACAACTGATTGTTTGAACTTCTGCATTGACACTGCTGTCACTACAAAGATTGTGCTCTGTTACCCTTACAATAAGTCTTGGGGGATGTTAAATACCTCCCTAATAAGAAAAAGGGGGATTTAGGGATGGTGACCTGACAGCACTAAAGGGCTGTTTGACGGAAACAAAAGAATCTTTCAGAAAGAATGTTGAAAGTAAACTGGAGGAGAAAAATATGAAAGAGAGCTTTATTGTCTTTGCCTAGGCTATTCACCTTATTCTCCGCCGATGAGCGGGCGCTGCCATTTGAATCTTTTTGGCTTAAGACTTCCGATCTCATTCACTTCAATTCATTTTTGACGTTAAAAACTATGGCGGCAAATCAATGCCAATATTAATCGAGCGCAGCGGTGATGTTTGCGCGCGAGGAGAAGTGAACCGTGAGCAGATTACAGGTCTACACGCGAGAAAACTACAGCTCGCGAGCGCACAGGGGATCTTCACGCGCTCAACTGATCCAGCGCGAGAAAACAAGTCCCGCCCGTGCACATCATCATCTGTGCATGATGTACGCTCTCGCGAGCAAGGTCATGCCTACAGCGCGCGCGCGATCAGTTCTCTCCGCTCGCTCGCTTGTTCTTCTCTCTGCTCGCGCGAAACATTTTGGATTTTTGTCAGTCCTGGGGCGGGACTTGGTTTACTTGTTATCTCTAACGCTATTGGCTACTCTACCTGTTGTGAAATCTACTCATGAATGTTCCTCGTGTGACCACCAGAGGGAGCCATCGCCTGAGTTCTAATCTCCCCAAGGCTCGGCTGGGACTGATTACATACAGCTGAAACCCATTTCAGATTCTCTATATAAACGCACACATCCTTCACTCGGTGCCTGCCCTGACCACTGCGTAGTTATATTGATTCCTTCTGCCGGCCGCCTGCCTCGAATCTCTGCCTGTCTCTCGTTAACAATCACTCTCTCCTAACCCCGACCCACGCCTGCTCTTCGACTATTCTACTGGAAAGTTCCAATTCTATCTGATGTTTGTGAGTTTCCACGTGTGATATCTTACTGTTATTAAAGTGTGCAAATGGATCCAGAAATGCCTGATGAATCATTACAGAAAACTTCGCCGCAAGGATATCCAGCAACTCTACTACAGTTATCGTCCGAATTATCCACTCAAGGAGCCCAGTTAGCCCTTCATCGACAACAACTGGTACGACTGACCACTTTAACCGAGGAGCTTGTTCAAGCTGTACAGCGGCTACATGTCGCACCTGTTAACCCCTCGGCCGCTCCTTCTCCTCCTCCTCCGCCGCCCCTCAGTATGCCCCTCGATCCCCTGCCACAGTCTGCAGTAAATCCCAGATTGGCTTTCCCCGATAAATTTGACGGCAATCCCTCCAAATGTAAGGGATTTTTACTGCAATGTTCATTATTTGTTGATCAACAACCGTTTCTTTACCCCACTGATTCCAGCCGAATCGCTTTTGTATGCTCTCTGCTTTCTGGAAAAGCCCTGAAATGGGCTACAGCTATATGGAAGCCGGAGGGTAACACTTTTATATCCTTTAAGGATTTCCTGACACAATTTCGAGCAGTGTTCGAACACCCCGCCGATGGGAAGAGCCCCGGAGAGCAGCTGTTGACACTTGTTCAGGGCTGCAGTATGCAGCTGAGTATGCACTCGCCTT